GTGATGAGCAATGAAAACCCACAGAAGCAAGCGGAGTTAACTGGGAGATGTGCTGGGCCAGTGGCCACCAGCCACAGGGGTGGTTCACCCACGCCTGGAGCCCGGCTGTCCTGCTCCCAGCCATGGGCGGAACACGTCACGTTGTCCAGCCTGTTCACTGGAGCGTGGCAGGGCTGGCAGAGCGCCGTCTGAGCCGTGGCATTTCTGACTCTGGGGGTCTCTTGGCTGCAGCCATAACACAGCCACCCATAAGGGAAACATGGTGAGCAGCTCCAAGGCCCATCCCCGAGGGTCTCCCAGCCCCTCAGTCCCTTCTCCAGTGCGCTGTGATGCAGTGACTAAAGCCATGGTCAGAAAACCATGGGGCCAAGATACCCAAGTGCCTGGCAAGGAGCATCTCTTGCTCCTCGCGTGGGCCCCAGGAGCAGCTCTTGACATGGGTGCCTGGTGCAGGTGCTCACTGCTCTGCAGCCTTGCCTGCTGCCTGCCTGCCCTTGCACTGGGCAGGGGTCTCACCCACTTCCCTGCCCCGGCTGGGGGGATGCCCTTGTGTCACACAAGAGCCCTGGGAGCTGGGGGTGCAGACCAGGGGGAGAAAGAGGAAGGGTCTCTGCAAGCTGACCCTGTATGACAACTGACCGACAAGGGAGGACAAGAGAGTGACAATCTGGTCCCTTTATGCCCATCTTGTCTGTTTGGGTTTCCCCCCAGTTCTCCACGCTCCTTTAGTTCTTCCGTTGGCTGCTCTCAGTCCTGGGTTGCCCTGCTCATCTTTCTCCATGTATCCTGGCCCACAGCAAGCTGGAAGCTCACGTGTTTTTTTAAATTGTCTTTGTTTCTTTAAACTCTGCAAGGGTAGTTAAGACATCTGAACTTCTGGGGAGTCTCTGTCTAGAGATCTTCCCCAGCATAGAGCAGACAGTAGCTCTTTTCCCAGGGATGGGCTGACTGCAATGGGAAGAGCCTCCTGCATGCTCCAGGTTCCCTTCCAAGCAACATCACTGGTCTGGACCTCTCCTTCAACTCCTTGGTCATGCCCCGTCACGGGACTCTCCTGATGCATTTCCCTTCCCTGCGCTACCTCAACCTCTCTAGCAATGCCCTGCTGGCACTGAGCCCAGCAGTGTTCTCCAACCTCGGGGCACTGCGTCTGCTGGACCTGAGCAGCTGCAGCATCGCCTACCTACACAGGGACTCTTTCAAGGGCTTGGGAAACCTACACACGCTGCTTCTAAGAAACAACAGTCTGCAAGAGCTTGAGGTCCCTTTCCTCTTGCCACTGAAGGCTCTTTTCCACCTGGACCTGCAGCATAACATGCTGGTCTCTGTGGACACCTTGAGCCTGCAGCTGATGGAGGAAGTCCCACAGGTCTGGCTGGAAGGGAACTCCTGGGTCTGCAACTGCACCGCACACCCTCTGCAGCAGTGGCTACAGCGCAGGCAAGGTGAGCTGACGGGACAGATGGCAGGATTGGTACTGGGCAGGAGGAGCCCTGGGTGCAGGGGTCCCGCTCAATCCTCTGCTCCAACCCCTGGGTGGGCTCTGAGATAGCTCTCTAGTGACCTCTCCCACCCTATTGAGGGACAGCAAGCTGAAAGGTGATGCGTCTGTTCCTTGCTTACAGTTACACATGATACAAAATATTTCCAGGAATGACAGCAGGATAATATAGCCACTCCTCTGGGTAAGGGGCATATGCACTTCAGCTCCTAAACTCACCCATGCGTATCTGTGTGGAGTGACCACTTTTTCAAGAGCTGCTGAGTGCTTAGCAGTGCTTATAGAGCTGGATCAGGCTCCAACCCTCTGAACGCAGCTCCCAGGCAAGAGCAGCCCTGTAACAGTGGGGCTTCTATCAGTATCCATGATTCTGGAATTATCCCGTTAAAAGGATCCTGCTAATCACAGAGACACACTTGCATGGTTCCTTGGTCAGGGGATTTTAACTTTGGTTGTGCCTTACAATGTGCTGAGGGCTGGCAAGGCTGGAAGGCAGAGCCAGGAGCACCTTGTGATGCATCCTATCAACACAGGAGCAGGCAGAGATCATCTTCTCTAAACTGGGGAGGGGATGGAAGAAGACCCCCATCCCACCTTAGCCCATGTGTCTCCCAGCTGTGCAGGTGACCTGCGCATCACCCCCGGGGCTGCGGGGCCAGCAGGTCGCAGGTCTGGCTCCCCAGGACCTGGGCTGCCAGGTGAAGCAGCGGTTTCCTCGCGGGGACAGCACGGCGCAGCAGATCACAGTGACCCACAGCAACAGTAAGTTGTGCAGCTATAGAGGCCTCCATAAGGTCTAGGTCCCTCCTGTTCTCCATCACTCGGAGGGAAATGCAGGTGGAGACCTGCTCTGCCCTGCAGCCCTGGGGGCTCAAGCTGTCCACCCACTGCTCATGCAGTGGCTTGGTGGGGAGAGTGGCCTCCAGTGTGACTTGGTGGCCACCACCTGGACACGTTTGCTGGCTTTGCAACAGGCAAGTTAGCAGATGCGACGAAGCTGTTACAGAGTACAGGCTTCACAGTGATGAACGCCAGTCTCAAACAGCTGTCTAGCAGATTTCCCTGCAGTGTTTGCACACCTTTGGTACCAACCTCTTGGTGAAGAGCATTTATATTGCTCCTAATGAAGGCAACCCAGTGCTGCCTGCATGCTGCAGGCGTGCACAGGGCTGGCTGCAGAGGAGTGCTGGGTATGCCACAGGCTGACCCACCATGCCCTGACGTGCCTTTCCTGTGCCATAGCCACCACACCGCCAGCCGGGAAGGGAGGAAGGAGCTGGCCATACCTGGTGGGCTTCCTGGTGGGAGCAATTGGCATCTCCATCCTCATCGCACTGGCTGCCAAGTGCAAGCTTTTCCACAAAAACTTTGCCAGCTACCGCCACCGGCCGCTGCCTGAAACCAGCTCGATTGGGGGCAGTCCCATGGAGGACGGCAGTGGCTGGGACATGGGCTCCTCCGGCCGAGAGGCCTGTGAGAGCCACCCCATGCCCGGTGCTGCCGACCTGCAAGCTGAGGATGACGACGGTTTCATTGAGGACAACTACATCCAGCCAAGTGAGCGGCTGCCAGAGGAAGAGGAGCGGGACTTGCACCTCTCCATCTGAGCATGCAGCCCAAACACCAACTCTGTGGCCTCTTGCCGCCCCCCTCCCATCTCCATCCTCTTCCTGCCCTTTCCCACCTGCCCTCTGCTCTTGGCCCCACATGGCAGGAGAGGATAGAGGAGAGGAGAGTGGATAAAGTGATGGAGGCTGAAGGCAGCCAGCTCCACACTGCTCCAGCATGACACCGGCAGGGCTGCACCGCCTTGGGGACACTGGACATGCTGCTGGTCTCTCAGCTCTGCTCAGATGCTGAGGATGAAGGAGATGGTGACTATTGTGCCTGGGCAGCCTGATGGGGTGAGAAGAGGAGCCTGCCCTGCTGCTCCTTGCAGGATCTCAGGCATGGGCCCCACTGCCCCATGGCGTTGGACCCAGCCTTTCCCTGTCCCTCCATATGATGTCACTCTGGGGTGTGATTAAAGCATGATTTAACCCTGTCTCTGCTTGTGATGGTTTGTTGGGGTTCTCCCAGTGCTGGGATGTGGGTTTTTGTTTTTACGTGTGCTTTCAAGTACCATAAATATGTTCCTTGTTAAGTGCAGCAGTGAGACAGCAGGTCTGTGGCACCATGAATGTCTTGTGCAAACAGGTCTGTCACCTGCTGTGGTGCAGGCAGCCCTGCTGCAGCCACAGGGTTTCTGTACTTTCCTCTCCATCACTGCTTCCTGACATGTCACTTCTCTCCTTTCCCTCTCCAGCAAGATGTGGTAGGAAGGCACTTACCTTTCCCCTGCCAGCTCTGCAGAGCTGAGCAAACTCTGGCGGCGCCGGTTGTGGCGTCAGGCAGGCACGTGTGCTGGGGCGAGACAGCCCTGTCCCCTGGCACCCCGTGCAGGGTCACGTCTGTATCTCTGACCATGGAGTTAACTGAGCATTATAATTTTCGCATTCCTGTCATCTTTGTGGTACTATAAACAGAACATGAGACATAGGTACCTGCAAGCTGTTTCTGTTGTAGCTGGTCGTGCCTCTGTGGGTTGTGCTGGTGTTAAATGCAGGGAGCGGCAGCAACATTCAGCCTCCTTAGTAAGTGATTTACAAGGCTGGTACCGTCTGACTGGGGAGATTTCCCAGGGTACAGCCCGGTCATCACTGTCCCTGATAGCCTGGGAATTTCTCTGTCACACTCCAGAGTATGAAGCACCATCACAGGGGTGGCATTTTTTTTCAGCTCTGCCACACAGCTAATTGTCCCCTCTCCTTCAAACCTCCACTTCACTGTATACTGCTTTTGTAATTCTCTACTCATGAAGATATTTATAGAGCACAGTGTATACAAAAGCAAACAATACAAGTCAGGGAATGTAAATCACAGGGGATGGCTGGGTAGGGTGTTGGCTGATCGACACAGGCCAGTGAGTTAAATAACTTTCCAGAGAGGGAATGCGCCATTTGAAGTCAGGAGGAGGAGGAGGAGGAAAACCTGCTGGCTTGTTTCAGTGGCCAGCCGGTTTTTGCTCTTAAATGCCATATTTCTAAACTATTCTGCCATCACTGCATTATGTTTTGCTTTCTGGGCTCATCTTAACAACTACATATGAAAATACAAGATGTGTAATTTTTTGCAATTTCTTGTATCTTTCAGGTTAGATAAGAGACTTAAATCTTAGAGCTGGGAAAATGCATTTCAGTTATCTTTCAGAGGGCTTTTCCACATGCTTTTCAATCACGTGAAGTCGTGTTAGATGCAATATTTTACTTTTGGTCTCAGTAATGATTTAAAAGAGATTAAAAATACAACTCCCCGGGCTATTTATCCAGGATTTTGCTCACTCTTGTCCCTCAGTACCTAGTGGTGAGTTGCTTGTCTACTTTGACCCTGCTGGGAGGCCCACCTGTTTACTCTTTAACTGAGCAGATGTGGCTGTTTTTCTGGTGTGCAGGAGGGCCTGGTCCGGTGACAGCCCCTCTGCCCCCTCTCCAGGCAGTTCTGGTGCAAGTGAGCAGGAGCCTGGCAGCTCGTGTGGGGGTAAATGCAGCTGGCATGGAGAGCTAGGAATACAGGAGGGTCAGAGCAGAAAAGGAGGAGCCTTCTCAAGAGAGGTCCCCCCAGGAAGCTGCCAGAAGGACCATGGTTGAGTTTGGTGGAGTAGCAGGTATGCAGGCAGACTGGTTCCAGGCTCCTTGCAGGCAGCAGCTGCTGCCGCAAGGCTCAAGGCTCGTCCCCACCACAGGGCGAAACAGCTTCTCTGTAAACAAACCAGCCAGCACCAAGATATTCAGGAGGCTTTGTGTGCTCCACGTGAGGATCTTTCAGGGGCACAGCAAGGTCATAGTTTCACAGCATGGTGGTAAGGGGGGCTGGCTATGTCTAGGTCCTTAAGCAAAGGGAGATGCACACGCACCTGGAGGTGGGAGTCATGTATCAGGAAATAAGTAGGTGTATTTTGGGGGGCTGTAGTGATGTTGCCAAACTAGCTGAGGGACGGAAATCACAGCCACAGGAGAGACCCTGGATTGTCATGATTTCTGCCCTAAGCTCAGCCTGAGGAGAGGCCAGCTTTGCACAGCTCTGACACCTCCCACTCTGCAGAGAGGCCGACATTGAAGTATCAACCTTCAACACACTCAGCTTCTGCAACATTTTATTATTTATATCCACACGTAACACGAACCAGGAAAGGGATAAACCAGCACTGCTGCCGCAGAGGTGGGTCAGCGACTGGGGCAGCACAGCCTGTCCACCTGGGCAGCCAGACACCCAAACCACCATCTTCAGCGACAGCCTGTTCTCCGCCGTTATTTCCTCAGGTTGCCGAGGTGGCCCGCAAGAATCCTCTTCCGGCACAACTCTAGGGCACTTGTGGCACATTTTGAGGGGACAATGGAGGGGAGGGTTCACATTGGCAGGCAGGCAGCGCAGAGCTGCCAGCTGGGCACAGTCACGCATCTTCACAGAAGTGCCCAGATGTGCAAAACAGCTGGTGCGCAGGCAGCTGCGGCCTGCCCACACGTGCAGGGCAGGGAGCGGGGGGGTACTGCGGCAGGCCCGCCTGCGCTGGTGTAACCGCGCGGGCGCACGGAGCAGTGGCAGCGGTGCCGCTGCAGAGCTGTCTGGCTCCGGACTGCCTCTCCCTGGGCGTGCAGGGCTGTCCCTGCTGGACCTGGGGTCAAACAGCCTTTGCTCTTTGCTTTGCAGAGGATTTAGCACAGATATTTAGCAACCCTCTGAACGCTTGGGCAGATTAAGGGAAGTGATGCAGCGAGATGAGGAAACAGTAGTTTAATAAAATCCGCAGGTGATGTGAAAGTGGCAGAGGAAAATGTAGAAATAGCAGAGAACCAGAAATTAAAAAACAAAGTGATATTCCCCAACTTCAGGGAAAACAATCCAAGGCCTTGGGGGAGGGAAAGCCAGCAGGAGCAGGGCAAGAATGGATCAATACAGAAGTGCTCTCATGCAATCTGAGAGCACTGGAGACAGTGCGGTCTGGAGCCACGAAGGGATGAAGTCTTCATTGTCCTGTGTATACGTGGTGCAGTTCACTGAGGTTGAACTCTGACACTGCCTCCAGGTGTAACATGGAGACAGTTATTCAAGATGTTACTAAAGGAATGAGCTACCATCCTCTTCCACACATATTTTTTTACCAGACACCAAAAAAATAATAGCTCAGTCTTGTTCCATTACAGAGGGAACTCAGAAAATAATGAGTAAAAATAACATCTGGGGCAGAGCGGCTCAGCTGAGGAGGAGGTGGGAGCAGACAGGAAGATGAAAAAGAAGAGAAGGCCGTACAGAAGCAACTTCACTAGGAGGTTAGGATCTGTGTCTATGAAAAGGGCAGTGAAATGGTGTATGTGTCTATGGAGGAAATGAGAATTTTGACGGTTAAATTAGCCTCTAGTCACAGGAAAAGCTCCCAAGAGTGAGTTGTTAATCTGCCTCTGGGAAAGACACCTCAGTGAAAGACACCTTGTAGGGACAAAACACCAAAAAAGCTCCAGGTAAGGCCTGAGTGGTAGCAGAACTTTTCCCCCACAACAGCTGTAGCACTTGAGAGACAGAAACAGCATGGGAACACGCAGGGACTGGGACAGGCTGCGGTGCTCCCGGGGCAGCAGAGGTACCTCTGCTGGGAAACAGTACTCCCCTCTCCCACTGCCCCTGCAGAGAGCAGCCTCAGCCCTGGGATTCAGGGGTCCCATCACCATCCCCAAGCAACTGCACCTTGCTGTTTGTGGCTTGCATGGCTAGGACATGCTGGCTTGATAGCAGAACCCTCAACACACAGTCCAGCACTGGTAAGCCATCAAAGCCCTGACAACAACATCCTTTGATCACCCTTTTGATAATTCACGGAAGGTGGTGGGCTGCAGAAATGTAATACTGGAACAGATCCCGGCACTGCAAACACAAATGGCATTTTGTGTGAGGTCCAGCCATGCTGGGGCTCTGGCACACAGAACCCCACGCAAATCCCACGCTTGCTCCCACAGACACACGGGTGCTTTCCTGGGAGCAGCCCCTGCAGCCGGACCTCCCACCAAGCTCCCCTTCTCTTGGGCTGCCACCTGCTGACACACAGAATGTTTCCTGCTGTTCATCTGCAGCGAGAGGCTCTACCCTTCTCAGGAGTATGGAGCACAGGGCGGTTCAATGCCACCTGCAATCGCAGCCTCTCCTGCCAGGACAGCACACGACACAGCCCTGGGAACTGCAGGATCCAAGCAAGTCCTGGGGTCTCAGGGGTACAGGACAGGCTCACCTTAACTCTGTGGCAGGGGTCAGAGCCGGGCAGGCAGCAGCTGTTGCAGGAGGCTGCATGGTGATGAAATGCCAGCCAGGCCAGCGCTCTGCTCCTAAGGTGCCAGGCTGCAAAGCCCTCCCAGGCACCTCAAGTCCCTGCAGAGCGCCAGCCTGGAGTGAGGCAAATGCCAGTCATCTCTGAGAGCAGCTTGAGACCACGACGCACATTTTTTTTACGCTCACCTGCCCTCGGGAAAGGCCAGCACAAGCCCTGCTGATGGGCCGTATCCAGGGAGGCTCACGCAGGGGT